AGACTGGTATAAAAAAAGAYAGAATTCTTAAATGGCAAATACATTTAGCATATAGAAAGACCTTGAACTAGTTTGAAAAAAAAATACAGTTAATGAGTTTTTATTAACATACTGCTCTTCTGAATGCTCTATTACCACATTAGAAGACCAAATTTGCAATTGAAACAGCTGCTATTTGGCTTACTCACTCTCTAGTTCTCAATGTTCTTACTCTAGGACCAAAGTAAGCAGCATACCCTACCAGAATCTCAACCTTTSATCAGAAAAACCTATCACTTTCCATGAACTCTGAGACCAAGAGTTTTCTGCTGAGATTCTTCCCTGAGAAAGCACAGCAGAACTGCTCGACAATGCCCAGAAACACCTGCCTCTTGTTAAGCAGATCTTTTTTTTTTTTTTTTTTTAATCTCAGTTTTTTTTGTCTTGGAAAAAAATTAAGATCATTAGATCTAAAGCCAAACATAGTCACCTAGAAGTATCATCCAACTAATATTAGTCACAAACATTAACGCTGGGCAAATCAACTCACATTRATCCCCTCAAGAATGTGCCGCTGGTACAGTTTGCATCAGCACAAAAGCACATCTGTCTGTGGTAATGAGATTTACTGTGCAGGGAAAGGCTGGGAGTGTCTAAAACCAATTTAGCATAAAAACCTCAACTACTTTGGGTTGTCATGGAATTGACAAAGGTCTAAGGGCAGATTTTCCTCCCACCACCCACCTGGCTCTGCTTGCTGCTGCACTAAATACCAAAGCTGCCCATGAGGCATCTCAGCAGAGCTCTGGGGAAGTGGCAGGAATTGAAAAGCTGAAAGGAATTAATCCTTTCTGGGTAACCAAAAATCAGCTAGGAATGAGAAAGCAAAACCGCTAATTTCCCTGTCTGGAGACATGTACACCTTGCTTTTCTTCAGGTTACAATTTCCAGCATTCAGTAAGCTCAGTAATACTGAGTTATACTGGGAATATATGTTTTATATTGCTTTTGCAGTGATAAGATACCCATTGTGCTTTAAAGTGAGATTTGCAAAGCACGAAAAGGCAGCTTGTCCCGTCCCGCTTGAAAAGAGGGAGTCGGGGAGGATTCTTTTAATTGATTTCTTGGACAAAAAATAAAGTGCAAACACGGCAATATTATATCTGAGAACTGTTTATTGATAAAGAAGGGTAAGTGYTCCTGTTTTCCCACCCATCCRGGCATTGCCCCACCAGCAATGAGGGCAGGGGGTTGCAGAGCAGCAGGGGAAGCTGTGCCAGTCTGTGCCATGAGTGACTGCTGCCAGGCAAAACCTCCCGAGGGACAGAGCTCCCAGCACACAACACATGTTGAGGCATAAATAAAAATCAGATTGGGCTCTCTCACAGCTCTATTTCCAAACACTGAGTAACATTTACATTACAAGCAAGGAAGTCAAAACAGGCAACAAAGCAGGAAGCGGGGCTGGAAACAGCAAATACATAGAAAATTCAGATACACAGAAGTTTATCCTACTGTTTACCCATATCCTAATGCTTCAAGAAGACTGAACACTTTGACATAAGTTGAACAGCCTTTGCCAGCCAGACTGTTTGATGTTGTGTTGGCCCTGTGACAAAGCCAGTCTGTACAGGGAGGTTGGCATTGTTTCCTGATCAAAGCCAACCCTAATGGTATTAAACCTGAGTTGTAGTCTGACAGACTTTCTTCCCTCAGCTATCAATTCTCTACTTTGCCACCAGCTTTTTCTTGAGCTGCTGCATTATGATATTCTGCTAGTTTAAACCATGCTCAGACTTCCATTTCAGATAATAAGAATTGATATTCCCATATTTTCTGTTATGCTGGGTAAGAAGACAGGAGATTGTGAGTACACAGAGACTGTTGCTTGTGGTGGTGGTATTCAGCTTCTGTTGACTCCAATTATATTGCAAGAAAAAAAGGAAGCAGGAAAGCTTTAACAATTTTTGATTCAACTCTTGTGTAGCACAATAGTTAAATATGTCTTTAAGACTAATCATGTGCTTGTGTTCCTTTCATAAAAGGCAGACWTAGAGCAATGGTGGCTATAGCAGGATGGGAGTGGGTTACCCCAGTAACCCATGCACAGGATGAGATGCTGCCCATTTGTGTGGTTCTGCCACCTTATATTTGTCTTTGCCTTCACAGATAGTAAAAGAGTCTTATAATTTCAGATAAAAGTAAAACTGATTASATGTTACGAAATCAAACATCAGATGCTCAGAAAATAACAGCTCCACTAATGGCAACTGAAGCACAGTAGATTTTAGCAACTTCATAATTCAAGCCTCAGTTTGCTAGTGCTAGTTTCTCTGTTCAGATGTGACATAACCCATCTAAGAGCACTTTACAGTGAACTTACAGAAAGAGTTAAGGCTTATTCATTGCTGTGCTGCTTCACAAGCTCATATTGTCCGCTACAATCACTGTTGCTGCTCCAATTCAAATTTCTCTTTTGTTGACTGTGATTGCAGTTATGTATGATGCCAATGGGAGTGAATGATGCTGCAGGATGGATATGAGCTCCTGTAGTCACATTTTTCACCTGCCTTGAGATCATTCAGAGTGGTCTAACACTGTCTGCTTGGAAGCAAGGAAGTCAGGCAGACTCTTCTTACAGTTTGTGAGTAGCTGTCAATGGTTTAAAAAGACTTAGCCTTAGTAGGTAAGTTCCATCTTCACTTTGTAGCACAATTGACCTGACCCAAATAGGTGAAGACATATCCCTGTCAAAGCTGTAGCAGTCATCAGGGATGGATGAAAAGGCTCAGTAGAAAACAACTTCAAGATCTTTTTACAGAAAATCTCAAGCTGAATTTATGATGAAGTTCTGAAATGTCCAAACATATTTTATTGCCTTCTGGTTTCCAGATGGGTCTGCATCCAGAACACAAGAATACCACAAAAATGCTACTTTTTCCCCTGCTGCAATCAGAAGCAGCTGTAACAGAAGGCTATAGAAAAGTCTGATTCTTAGAGTATGCTTGTCTCTGTTTTTCAAAAAAAGAGATGTTTAGGTAATTTGAGTAAACTTTGCAGGGGCATCCAAACATTTGGAATTGCATTAGGACATTTCAAACTTTTGGAAGCATATCCTTCACAAGCTCTTTGCTCTTAATAAGGGCAGTGGAATACTCCAGCAGGTAAAATTCAAGAGACAGTATTCTCATTTAGTCCAGCTCTAATAAAAAAGGTGGACATGACAGTGTCAAACTCTCCCATTCATGCAGGTAATCACACTTGTAAAGCAATTTGTTGGAGTGTCAAGTTAAAACCCTTAATATTTTTTTTTATTAACTGCATGCATTTTCAGTGATGAATTTAGTATTTTTGGAGACAAGTTTTATTTAGCAGCCCCCTGAATTCTATGCAAAATCCAATAACTGATGAACATTTTGCGATTTAATCAACAAGGTATCAAGAGGCCCCAGGACCAGCTGACTCTGAAAGCAGAAGGCATACAACAGTCTCAGAACCTTGCAAGATGAAGACCAAAAAGATTTTTTTCAGTATTTGCACTTCCATTTGCACAAACCCATTTTCTGMCTTTCCAGTCCTTGTTTTCAGCAGGTTTACACAGCTAAATGCACACATCGTGTTCAAAACACTCGCCCATATTGAGCAAATGACAGCCTATGGAAATCTGCATGCAGGGGCTCATGCATGAACCTCATGGTGAAGGGCAGGAAAATAAAGCTGCTTTTAAAGTTTTTTTTTTTTCATCTGACTTTGTAAAAGTAAAATTTAAAAATGGGACAAGGTTATAATTTAGCCAGATAATGAATTCATTAATATGAGCTCCCAGTATCTAGAAAAGATGAGTAATATCTAAATAAACAAATCTAAATAAGTGAAGACAAATACTAACTCATGGGCTTATATGGAAGTTGGCAATCCTGACTCATAATGAAAATGATTTATTTAAAGACTTACTATGAACATTGCAGGAAAGGTGATAACAGACATGCACCACTTTGTTTACWGTAAAATTTCCTGTAAATTAAAGAGTTCTTATTCTTTGTTTGGTTTTGATTTGGTATTGTACCAAGTATCTGTTTATAAAAGGAAATATGACGGTACAAAGTGTACAAAGTGAATTGAAAAAGAGATTAACAGTCAAGGTGAATTTGCTTTAAATTAAATCCTAGCAACATAGACAGTGGAGATCCCATTAARGTAAGGAAAGCCATCCAAGGCAGATCTTTCATGCACCCTTTCTGAGTGCTGAACTACCCGGAATTCAAGACAGAAAGCGACTCTCCAAAAAAACATAAAAAACAAAGATTCAGGTGACTGAGAGATATGGTAGGAAAACAAATGTTGCAAGCACAACAAAAGAAAAGTTTGATATAAAGTAGGCACTGTGTTCCAAGGAATTAAGTTYTGAGGATTTTCCCCTTTTTGTGGAGTTTTTTGTTTATAACACTCCCTAAACAGCTTATTAAGGAATCTTTCTGAAGTCATATTTATATGACAAAGTATGTCACAACCTCAAATCATCCCATCCCACAGAAAATCTTCTGTGGGGACACTTGGATAATGCATTCRCAGTTGAAAAGGAATAATGAAAATACAAGTTATATGTTTCATCAGAAAACTAGAAGAGAATTTGTTTGGTGGAAGCAACTCCTTGGGTTGATTTAGCCCTGGAGCCTCCCTGATATATCTAGGGATTGGAATTCATGAGTCTCCAAAGTCTCCACCCAGGGAAAGAAAACGTTTGTGGATGGAAGTGCTGGATCTGGGTCGTATTAATTCCCCTTGCAYGTATAACCAAGATTTACATGGAGGATGAAATGGTGAAGTTAATGACATTGTCTGAAGGCCAGGAATTACCTGTGTTCACGGGATTTACTCCAAACAGTCTTAAGATCCATTATATGATATTTATTGCTACAAAATTACTGTGGGATTTTGAAAATMATGTTGTTAATCCAACCAGCCTGCAGGCAATCCTGTGCACACAAGTTCAGTGGTTTAGAAGGTGTGTTAGCACTTACCTGGGGGCATGTGTTCATTCATGATGACGAGTGATGCTGGCGTGGGCCTTCTTTTCCTGATCTGTAACAGATACAAGCCAAGGAGAGTCAATAGGACCCAACAATTGCCACACACACAAAGCAAAGCAAAAAAAAAAAATCTGTCTGTGTCCTCCTGAGTATAGACCAGGCAAATTTAAAGAGGAAACTATTTAAAGAACAGCAGCGCTTCACTYTCTTACCGACAGCTTGTCTGGTCTGACAGCAGTCAGGGTCATGCTGCTGCTTGTTCAKGGAGAACAAAGGCACGGGGAGAGCTGTCCAAAATACCTTTAGGATTTGTAATCATCTTGACTTCAGGTTTTGGATATGTATTTCTGAAAAATATCAGTCATATCTTAAAATACTGGCATTTGGCTTTGCATCAGGAAGATGATTACAGTGGTTTGTAAGCTTGTATATGCAGGTTCCTACAACTGTCATAGCTCTCATAAGAAATAATAATATTTTGCAAGAGCATTTCAGAGTTGATATTGCATGCATGCCTTCCAATGAACTTGTATTTCTAAACTGTGGTCAGAAGTCTTACTACTGTTCTTTGACTAAAAATACTTACTCCAGTAATACAGTAATACAGCAGATTTACATACCAGTATATAGTCCTGAATTATATACAATTCATCTTCTCCAGAGTTTATCTGGGTAACTACTTTTGTTCCATTAATGTGGCTGAACTGCGTGGTATTGGACTACCYTCCTATAATGCACACATTTGTATTGAAAGCTTTGTGTTGCTCCACTAAAGCCTCCAGGCTTGATATTCTATTGAATTTAAGAGAGGGACCAGGAGCATTTAAGCTAGAAACCATTCTGACACAAAACCTCAATGTCAGTGCGTTTGTTCTCTTTTATTTGCTGAGCCAACATCTGCACTTAGCTGGGTTCAGATTTTGCTTTCAGAGGTGTAAATGGAAAATTACATCATCAGGGTTAATGGGTTTATTCCAGATTAGCGTAACTGTAGCTGACTGTAGATTTTACTATTTTAATTTCATCACACACCCACAGTGAAATTGTATAGCACTTGGAATCAAAGTCACAACACAAAAAAAAGAAAAAGGACTGTCCATAAATACCGGGCAGAAAATGGGCTACAGCATTTCAAAAGCAATGGGAATTCCAGGAAATCCAGGAAATCCTAATCCTATASTTCTCACAGGTTTCAGAAAAAATACCAGAACTGACGCATGAATTCATTGCAGAGCTGTTCTGCAAGGCACAGGCATCTCGCAGCTCAGGAGTGCCTATGGATAAAATGAGGACCCGCAGCAATTCTTTTCTGCACCCTTCTAATATTTCACATTCAATGGTCACTCACAACTCATCATTTTCTGGCAAAGGTTCCTGCCTTTTAAGAGACACAGCATCAAAATATTCAGGAAACTAGATACCTGTCCTRAAGGTGCAAATAATTTTACAGCTGATGGTATGGAACCGTCAAGGTTATAATATTCCCCTGATATCATCTAAAATGAGACTTACCCAAATAAAAGCAAATGTTGAGAAGRACTTGCACTGAGAGAAATATACTGGGTCACCTAATTAAGATTTATCCAGTTTTCTCACAGGACTCCCTGTGACCCTTTTTTTCTGCGCATCAACTCATATCTATACACTGTAATAGATATCTTTCCCTCCTTAGATGTCTGTACTGATAYATATACCTCAGTACAGTATAGATATAGATATATATATTATTATGTGTATCTTTAGGGAGTGAGTCAAAACCTAAAATAGCACACATATAATTCCAATGAGGAAATAAGTAAGGCATATTTCCATATGCATATATTTTTCAGACATGCTGTGTTGGTTTTGCTTGGCAAAACACTGTAAGGACAAAACACTGTAAGGATGACATAAAAACTGTATTAAATAATGAGAAATACAGGAAGTCATTGAAGTGATGACTGTTGTGCAAAACAGTAATTGTATTTTCTCATGTTAAAATGAATGGTAAATAAGYTGTCCCAAATATTCTTCCCAATATTTGCACTAGATAACAATTATCAGCATGATGATTTGCTTTATGTGCATGCAATATACTTGTGTTGATTTACTGAGAATGAATTCATTGAGTGCATTCGTGKGAAGTGTAAGTATCAGGGTACAAGTGCAGTTACAGAAAAAGCACAACAAATATGTACTAATAGACCTGCCCAAGGTAAAGAAGCCTTATTCTGGCTAGAGGACCTATCCTTCTCCCTCTTTAGGCATATCCAACATCTCTATAACCTCCAGAGTATTTAATCTACAGTCGCACTAATAGAAGCCAGAAAAGCCTTTAGGCCACAAGGATCACCTGTTCTCACCCACACCTTGCCCCCATTCCTACCCCATTCCCTCCAAACAGTAAAGGAAACTCATCCTCTTACCTGCTCAGCTGCCTCGGGATCTATTTGGCTCTGGAACAGGGGCACAGCAAACTGTATTTTTTTGGGGCTGTTGGGCTCCATGGTGCTGCTGAGGTGAGTCAGACGAGAGCAGAGCCTGGAGCTGGAGTCTGGGTCTGTGCCTGTGCCCCGGCGCCGTCCCCACAGCCAGGCTGAGAGCTCCTCAGGAACAGCTGTAACTCCTGATTTAGCACGGGAATCTGCGGGAGCCGAGCAACTCCCTTATTCCACATCCACAGAGATGCCACTGCCTTGGCTATTTGCTTTATTTTTCCCCCCTCTCCCCTCTCTTCAGCAGCCCTTCAGATCCTCTCAGCAGAAAGCTGAAAGGAACAATAAGCTAATTGTGTACCAGTTCACTTCTACATATGCCAAGCATTCACTCAGAAGCTAATTGAAAATGCAATACTAGCATTGCATGGCCTGGAGCCTTGGGATTTGAAAAAGAGGATCTCTCCACTGTATATTACTAACTGGCTGCTCAGAAGTGCAATGCAAGCTCCCTCTGAGTATTGCTGATGGGCTCTTAATTATTGATGAGCACAAATCAGGAAGTTTTCAGATTTTGGGGGTGGAGGCAGCAGGAGGGGTGGACACAATAATTCGATCTCTGTTACAGTGTGCCAGAAGTGCTCTCCTCTTTTCACGTATCAAACAATTGCCTTTGCTCTTACAAATCTTTTTTTAAAACTTACAGTTTTAGGCTCTCCTAAATCATACAGGAAGATTCTTGGTGATGATGCTWCATAGGTAGCATTTGACCACAATTTCAAGCAGTTTCTCTGGCGTGGTAAGTGGGTTTTCACCTTAGGCTGGTTTTGTGGATTTAGACCACGATTTCCTTTGGTGGGCTCCATTTCACRGGACTCCAGATGCTGAGAACACCCACATTTGAGCCAGCTCTCTGGGCTYCCTCATGCTAAGCACATCAACAGAATCTCATTCCACCCTAGTGAAGTGGGATATGTGTCTACTGAGGATGACATTTTCTCTCCATTAACTCTAGAAAAAGGCAAGATGATTCAGACTAGTTATCTCACTTTTGGATGACTAAAATTCAGAAGCCAAATCCCACTTAAAGATACAAAATATGTGCCTTATTCCAAGGCCAGGAAAATAATTTGKTCAATCATATCAATAGTACTCTTTTGAGAATATAATTGATTCTCACTTGTCATTTCATGTTAWTTCAAAAGAAGTGTGTGAAACAATACCCAGCAATCACTGACTTAACCTACGTCTTTGCAAAACTCAGAGGAATTTTAAAACGTTCAGGCCACAGAGAACACTAAGGATTTTCACAGTTCACCACAAGCTTATTGAGTCACTGAGTGTTTTCCCACCTGTGCCAGCAGAGGAGGCGGGGAAGGAGTGAGGATTGTGGTGGAGAACAACACACAGAATAAACCAGCAAGTCAGAGATCAAATACTTGTTTGGCTTTGATTTTTATGAATTAAAACCGTGACACATTTTTGGAACACCAGGCTGTTTCTGAACATAGAAGCACACAAGCTAGCTGGTTTATGAAGACTTGATAAAACTCAGGAGGTGAGAATACACTAAAAGTTTAGGATCTAGCTGGCTCAACGATAAAAAATAACTCTCAGTGAGRGCCAAAATTCCCCTCCTCATCCAAAGCAAAACTGCAGTGAACCATAGCAGTTTCCAGCTGACAGCTAGTAGCTGGCAASTTTCCAATTTGATTTCTTGTGATAGTTTAGGTGCATTAACTTAGACTTTTGAWTCACAGAAGAGTCTGCTTGGTGGGGGCCTTCTGGAGATAGTTGGTTCCACTAGCTCCTTGAAACAGGGGCTGAGATCAGGTTATTCTGGGCCCTCCCAGTCTGAGTCCTGAATGTTTTCAATGTTTAAGTGAAATGCTTATGTTCATTTACCACAACAAACAAARGAGATGTACAGAATATGGATATTCAGTGTTCCATATGACCATTTTTAAGCCTTCACTATTCCTATGAGGACAAAACATAATGGGCTTTATAGACTTCCACAATCASAGCCAAAGTGCAACTGCAACAGTTGTGCTGGCAAAACTCAGTCTAAGACACTAAAGCAAGATAGGCACACACTGCTTTCACTAGAACAATGAGAGAGTTGTTTTCAGGACACTCTAATTATCCAATTTCACAAGTCCTTCATGCACAGATGTGCCATTATTTCAATGACAGCTTCAGATATACCAGTGATATATACACACCCACAGGGTTACACCCTGGGAGGACATACGTGGGGATCTGAAGTTGTGGCTGCCCTATTGAATTTTCAAAATTGAAATGCTTGTTTTTTCAGTCCCAGATAATGTCAGAAAAATGTTTTCCAGATGTATTGCTACTATATATATTAATAAATATTTTAAATACCAAGTTTCTCTAACCTAATTTTCTCTAATTTCTCTAGAAAAGAGCCTAAATATCTGTTCTAGCTGTCTATGCAACTTCATGTGTTGAATTATACAACTGCAATTGTACTATATGTTACTGATTGCAGGAGCTATAATTGTCATTGCAAAGGCTTAAAATTTCTTMTCATAATGATAAAATATTTTGAAAAAACATATTCAGATACTAAAAATTTATTAAAATCATAAATGCTCAAAGGATTATAGAAATGTGTTTCAGCTCTAGATTGTTGGGCATTGCTGTATAAATGAATCCTGTCTCAAATGCATTTTTAGCAATGGTATATACAAAAACAGCTCTACAATCTTACGAAGAAACAAATCAACAAACCCTCTTTTTTTGGCAGGTTCTGAAGGGAGTCAGGCAAAGACAAAAGACAGAACAAGGCACAAGGACAAATCCATAATAGGGCTGCTGAGCCTGGGAGAGAGGCTCTCCAACAATGTGATGTGAAAGCTTTTGCCTCCTGTAGCTCTTCTCCCTGTGCCTATTTGGAGTTGGCTGCCCAACAATCTTCACATGCCCTAATACAATAACAGTATTTTTAAAATAGTGTAAAAGGCATATTGAGAGAGCACTCAGATATAGCATTTCAGGATTCCTAGCTTGGCTCCCTCTTACACCAATTTGCAGCATTAGAAGTCTCCAGGCAAAGTGTGCTGGCATTTTCTATGGACTGCATCATAGTCTGGGGAAGAGCTAAAACACATTTAAGTACTGACACATCCTTATAGCGCATCTTCTGTTTTGAGTGTACTCCCCACAATTTCAGTTTCAGATACTTTCATGATTCAGCTAAAACTATAATGGAATTAWTAATAATAATAACTGAGATACTTCCTTCCCATGTCATTTTCTATGTGCTGGTATGAAGCACTGCCTTTTAAAATATCCTGCTGTAGGGATTTGCTAAGGAAGCACTCATGGCATAGCTCCTGCTTGAGCTATTTYCCCTGTTGTCTTAGCAAAGGTGTATGTCTTTTTTCTAGCCGAAGCCAAGGCTGCTGGGATGGGAATTCAATGGTGTGTGTTCTGCACTCTCCATGCACAATTTTTGTTGTGGCCATGATATGCCTTAGCTCCTTTGGTGTGGTCAGAGATTACTGCAGCATCACTCTAAAGAGGAGAGAGGAGAGGAGAACAGGAGTTCATTGTAAAAAAAAMCCTACTTAATTCACTGGTGCAGATGCAGAAAGCCCAAAGTTACAGCACCCTGACCCAACAGGGTGCCTTGGCAGAGGCTTAGCTTGGAAGCGGCGATTCACTTAGGCACAACTTTAATCCCCACTGTAGCCACTGACACGTGAGAGAATTAACAAGGTACGTTGGTCTGTGCCGTCCTTGGGCTTTCCRGCTGACAGCTCTCCTCACAGCAACATGGCCTCAGCATGTGCTGGGCAGCCCCAGCAGCATAAGAGGGACAAACACTGCAGAGCACATGGGCTTTCTGTTGCAGCCAAAAGGGTCTTGATGTGCCACTTCCATCTGACTTTTTCCAACAAACTTACAAATAGCTTCTTCCCTGCCTTTGCCAGACAGAGGCACAGCTTCACAGCTCTTGGTRCTGGCCATAAGCAGAAAGAGAGGGAGAGAGCATGAACACTGGACATGGACTTTGCTGTGTATACCACACCTATCCATGGGCAGGTTTTCCTCATGGGGCTCTGCACTGTACCTCACTCACAGGTGCTTAAATGAGATGTAAGCCTCCCAAGAATAAAGAATTACATATTCAAAACAMCCCTGAAACTTTCTTTTCAAACAGCATGGCAAACAGTGTGACTCCCACTGAGCTGCTGGAAACTCAGTCTGCTATTTATATATAGAAAAATGCAAAGAATTGAAAATCTGCAATGGTGGGAGAATGCAGAGCAGATCTCATCTGTCTCACGAGTACCAAGTGCTGCCACAGGCGGSTCAAGGAGAAGGACAAAAAGTCATGTGGGCCCAGTCATGCAGCCAGTTTTTCACCCAGAAAAGAACACACCTGTCTGAGTTATGGGCTGCCAGCTTCTCCAGGAGAATGCTATGGGAAACAGCGCCAAAGGCTGAATACATCCACAGTCTTTCCCTCATCCACCTAGGCGGGCCACCTGGTCATAAAAAGATCACATTGGCTAAACAGGACCTACCTTTCCTAAACCCATGCTGGCTGGGCTCGATCCTTCAGCTGTCCTCTAGGTGCCACATGCTTGCACTCAGGACAATCTGATCCATAAACTTCTGTGGCACTGAGGATCAGGCCTGTAGCTCCCAGGATTCTGCTTCYAACACCTCTCATAGGTGGGTGTCACACTGGGCAGCCTCCAGCTGGGACTTTCCTGGTTAACCAGCACTGATGATAAATGGTGGAGTGGCTTGGCAAGCTCTTCCCCCAGCTCACCCAGTACCCTCAGGTCTGGGAGAATCCCATCCAGCCTCACAGGCTTGTGAGTGTTTAAATGGCACATGAGGTCACTAAATCCCTCCTCCTGGATCGCACAGGGCCTATTSTGCTCCCCATCTCTGTCTACCAGCGCAGGGGGCAACTGCCCAGAGGAKAACTGGTCTGTCTGWTWRAWWKWGRSRCAARRARGSMWTWARKWMC